CTATATCTTTGCTTCAGATGGTTGAGCAAGATCAAGACCATTTTGCTCATTCAGAAAAATAAAAACAAAAACAAAACAACCCAACAAAACAGAAACCAACATTGACCCAATCAGTAGGGAGAGCACACAATCAAATTAGTTTGATTCCCTCTTTGCAGTAAGCCCTGGTCTGGGAGTTCAAGTCCCCACTCCGGTGATACAAAATGCTACCTAGAGCCAATATGCAAATAGCATGGATACATTTTTTTTCCTTACCAAATACCTTCCTGTGAGGTAGTATTTGCCTAGTAAAATCAAATTTGCAGGCATGTCCTCTTCACATTTTAGGTACAAGATACAAAGTATATCTAATTATTCATAGAGGGAAATGAACTCAACCAGAAAAAAATAAAAAAAGGCCAAGAAGGAACATATAGCTCGAATTGCACATACGCAAGTTGTCACAGCTTATTTCACCATGAGCTCAGCAGAAAAACTACCAGAGTCACATTTAGAATTCAGTAGAGCATGGAGTGTTTAATATGCCATTTGCATTTTGACAGCTTAGAAATGTCTACACAGGATTTGCTAGATCCTCGGCAATAAGCACTAAGTGGCCACTGAGCCTTTGTTGATCTATTTCTGGGAGGAAGCAGAACCATTTTCTTGACACCTTCCAAGTTGGATTGTGTTTCAGACAAGAAATTGGAGACTGACTGGAGCAGCCTGGCCCTAGAAAAGGAGATGTTTCGCTGGGAGGAACCTGGAAGCCAGAGGTATGTCATGTTCCAATTAAGTATGATTGCCCAGATAAAAGCCAAGACAAAAATAGCCCCTCCCTCCAGTCTCTACCAAGAAGGTGTTTGAGCCCAGGAAGGAGGGTGTTCTAGTGCCTCTGGACTACTACCATTCCTCCTCTGCGTGGGTACGATTAGGTGGCATCTTTCTCTTCTTCCAGTTTGCCAATCCTGTAACATCAGGAGAAAGATTGTCCCTTATTTAAAAAAAAAAAAACACATACTTTTTACTTATTTATGTGCAAGTGTACCCCATGTGTGGGCCAGAATGGGGTGTAAGATCCCCTTGAGTTGAAGCAAAGGTGGATGTGAGCTGCCTGATGTGGCTGCTGGGAATGGAACTCCAGTCCTCTGGAAAGACTGCAGGTGTTCCTGGCTCCAAACCCATGTTTCTAAGCCCAGAATTTGCTTCTCTTGTTCATGGTCATAAAAGTCTCACACTAGTAACTAAATGGCTACTCTGGAAGCAGTAGGAAGTCTTTGGCTAACCAGATCTGAATTTAAAAATGCAGTAGTGTCTCTCAGAATGCAAGGGGGGAAGAGATTTGATGAGGACAACTTGAATACAGAGAGTTAACAGGTCCTCCATTATTCTGATGCATGACAGGTTTGGTTGGAGGGGGGTGCTGCAGAACACACTTATTCACAGGGGTGCTGGCTTCATCCAGAGCTGAGTTAGAGTGGCCCTGCTCTAAAAAACAGCGGACCCTGCCAATTAAAAGTCTTATCGTCCTTTGGTAATATGAATTTTCAAAGGAGTAACCATCAAGAGGCATTAAAAGGCTTAGGCATACAATCCTCTCTGGTCTCTGAGCTCCGTATATGGTTTCTGTGGGAATTTGATGACTTGTGTTTTAAATCTCTTTACTAGAGAGGTAGGCAACCTAAAAATCCGCCTGCCTGCACAAACCTCTGCCTTCATTCTCAAGCAGGTGAGGCTCCTTCCAGCGCTAGGTGAGAATACTTTCAGCTGGAGTCCCAAGCAAAGCCTTAAAGGCCAGCTTCTTTTCACAGCGGACAACCAATAACCCAAGAACCTACTGAGAAACAAACTTTACTCAAAAGGCCTATAGAGATAACTCGATTCTGAATCCGGGGCACCGATTTAAGAAAGCTTTCTCTCGTATAAATTATTCCATCTATTTACCAAATGAAAAGGCTTAAGAATCTTCATTTCCCTCTTCCTGGTTATTGTGTTTTTACAAAGATATATAAACTTGGGAATCCCTCCTTGTCATTTCATTAATCATCATCATCAACAACAACAACAGCAACAATAACAACAACAACGGAGACGACGATGATAATAATAGTAATAATAATAATAAATGAATTCCTGGTTTCCCCCAGTGTTTTTTGTACTGATAACTGATGTTTGGTCACTGAAGGTTATGGGTTCCAACGACCTCTACTGCAGCGCCTCCAGCCTCTCAGACTCTCAAACAGGTCATGAAAGATGTCCTAGGCATTAAAAACTCAACCTGTTTTTGCCTCGGCGCCCTAGCCACCTGGGTGCAGGCAGCACAGCTGAGAGTGGCAGTGGCCCAGCTCCCTCCGCCTGTGCGCTCCTTGGAGGAGGACCCTACTCTGCGCAGGCGCCAGGGCGCCCTCGGACCCTCTGGCCAAGCCATGGAGCCCAGAGGCGACACCCCCTGGCAGAGGCCCGACCTTGGCCCACTGATTTTGGCTTTCTGAGGGAAACTGCGACCCTGCCCCAGCTGCCAGCCAGCACACTGTTGGCTACTGTCTTGCTGGCGTCACCAGTCTCTCGCCAGCCTGCACAGCCACGGAGCTTGTGCCTGACCTCGTGGGTGCTAGGAGATGCAGCTCCGGTTCCGAGGGGGTTAATGAAGGAGCATGCACCCACTGCCCCATTGGGCCAGACAATAGCACAAACGTTCTTGGCGACTCGAGTCCCAGTCCCTTTGAGCACGAGGGTACGCGCGCGCTCGCGCGCGCTCGAGCACGATCCCAGCGCCAAGCAAGCAGGGGCTGGTGGCGCCTTGGCTTCACTTTAGCTTCTATGGGCTCCACTGGGGTTCCTGGTGCGCTGGAGGCACTCGGTTCTCTAGGGCTGTGAGTCCAGGCCCAATACTCTGTGCACCAACCAACCCTGGAGTCCCAGAACCAAGCCAGGGCAGACTCTGCCCCGGACCTGTCCCTCCACACCCGGCTCTTACTTCCCCTCCCCCAGCCCGGCAGACCACCCTCATGGGGGCGGAATCAGCCCGCACACGTGTAGGGATTATTAAGCAGCCAGGCGAGAGGTTGTGAGGCTCCACGCAGCAACCTCTGTTAATTGCGGGGGAAGGGAGCTAGGGCTGCTCAGAACTCCAAGGAACCCAGAGTGCGCTCCAAGGGTGAGCTGCAGGTATAGGGAAGGAGGGAGCTTTGCCTTAGACCATCTCAGAGTGCGGGAAAGGGTAAGAAGTTTGGCATAGTTGCACGACCAGCATATCATTTCACCAAGGGTTTGTCTGGACAAAGTCTAGTTCTGTGTCCTGAATCTTTTCCACTTCCAACGTTGAAAATCGCACCTGGTTTGGGGGTTACAGCCCTCGACTTTTCAGGTTTTGCCTCTCATTTCCCAGTGTGCCCAGTGAGACCGGAGCCCTCTGCCAACCCTAACTCTGCTTGGTGCTTGGCCGGTGGAGCCTCCGCAGGTGGAGGCCCAGGCTAGATGGGGGGAGGGGGGCGTGTAGTCAGAGGGCAGGCATCTGCGGGAAGCTCCAGAAAAATCAAGCAATGCCATCTCTCCAGTTAAGCAGGACCCACCTATTTCTAGGTGAGCTATTGGGATGCATCCCACAGATACCCTTTGTGAGAAGGATGCTTGGCAGAAGGGCCAGCATCAGAAGGCCGAATTTTCCCCCACCCGGAGCCCTCAGGCAATCCTCTGCTCTCTCCAGGCGGGTGTGGAGTTGGATGGAGATCACAGAGTCCTCTGTAGCTTCTTAATCACCCTTGAATTTGAACCACTAGGGGAATAGAAGCCGGGGTATTCTAGAGAGGAAAGGGCAATTTCTTGTGAGGAAACAGAGAACAAATGAGTCAAAGGGGAAAAAGTCGTAAGACTTGGTTCCATCCTTTTAAAAGAAAAGCAATCTGTCTATAACGATAAAGATACAAATTTGCCCAGGAGTCGTGTGAGGAAGGAAACTGACACTCAGAAGAACCAGAGAAGGACAGGACGAGAGAGAGTGAAGAAACGGGAGCAGGTACTTGCCAATGTGAAAATCAATCAATTCTTATACTCTCTCTCTCTCTCTCTCTCTCTCTCTCTCTCTCTCTCTCTCTCTCTCTCTCTCTCTCTCTCTCTCTCTCCTCTTTCTCTCTCCCTCCTTCCCATAGACTAAACCTAGCGCACATGAGCTGTTGCCAGCCGGAAGGATGCAGCTTGTAAAGACTTAGGAGAAAAACATCCCCTAACTCCTTTCAAGGAGAAAGCCAAATTCAGGGAGCCAAAAGCCCCAGTAACCACTCAGAAAGACCCTTCTCCTTTGGTTGATCAGACTTAGACAGGGACTGCCCCTGCACCCACAGAGAATTGATCTGATACGGAAACCCGGCCAGAAAACTCCCTGCTGCCTTCATCCACTTTGCCAGATATTACAACTTGCAAAAAGCAAAGTCCAGGGAAGGAAAGAGGGGGTTTACCTCACAGAGACAGCTTAGTTTGAGTATCTGGAAGGGGAAGCAGAGGAATCGGGTGTGAGGAGGTGTAAGGCTGTGGGAACATCACTCAGCTAGGAGCTCTCCCTTCTGGCAAAGGAGCCCCAGACGGAGAGCTTGAACTTGCCAGGCTGATGGTGCCCAGTATGTTTCCCAGGTGCGCCTGGTCCAGGGAGAAGTCGTGGGAACTACCCCAGCCTGCGACCCGCCTAGCCCACCAAGCGCCAGGACCCAAGGCGCAGTTCTCTGCCCAACTCGTGTCGGGCTCTCTTCTCCTTGACAACACACAGCACACAGCACAGAGAGAAATGTCGTTTGAGCCCAAGTGAGGGGGAAGGAAGGGCGGGGGTGGGGCGGGGGCAGATGAGGGGTGGGAAGAACGCGATGGAAGCTCGGTATCGGGCGCTGCGTTCCCTAGCGTCGCTGGTGGACAGCCACCCGGCCCGTCCCTGCCGCTTGGTCCCTTACAGTCCTCAGATCAGACACTCGCGTTCGCAAACCGGGCCTCCGAGGGTTCGGCCGTCTCCCCGGTACCGAGCTAGCCTGTCTTACCCTTAGCTGCAGTGAGGAGCCCCGCGCACAGAACCGCCAGCACCAGAGGCAGGAGCAGCGACTTGAATTTCCTCCACGCAGTCATGTCTGCAGATATTCCACACGCACACGACACGGATGGCTCCTCTCGGATGCGCCGGTCTCCTCCGAGGAACGACCGGGCTCTAAACACAAGCCCGGTAATCACCAAAGGGCAAGGCGAGCTGGCAAGAGCTCCGGGTCCCCAGCCCTGCCGCGCATCCGACGCCTCCCGCAGCTCTGCGCGCCCGGCTCGCTCCGCTCCCGTAGCATCGGGTCCGAGCCACTGCGGGGCTGAAGATGCTCGGAGCGAGCGCAGCCCCGGGGCTCCCGGGGCCGGGGACGAGCGCCGGCCGAGCCGGGCAGGAAGGCACCAAGGCGGCGAGGCTGCGGGAGGGGGCGAGGCGGGGAGAGGAGCGCGCGCAGCCGGGAGCAACCTGGAGCGGAGGCAGCTGGAGAGAGAGCCAGCGAGTGGGAGGTGCGGGAGGGGCGCGGGATGGGGGGGGGAGCGGGGCTGGAGCGGGAGGAAGGCGGGGAGCGAGCGCCGAAGACAGGCTGCTAGAGGCGCAAGGAGCCGCTGCCGTGGCGGCTGGACTCAACCATCCTACCCACCGAGAGGGGAAGGGAGAAGGCTGGCACCGCACAGTCCGGGACTCAGCCCGGCCTCGGGCTTTCAGGCCCCTGCTAGTGCTCCCGCAGCGCTGCGTTCAGCCTCTGGCGCGGCTGCGCGCAGGCTGGAGCACGGAGACTTGTTGGGCGCTCAAGTGGGAGAAGCCCACGCTGCACACTGGGAAGAAACCATACAATCAGCCACGCAAGCGAGCCTGAGGACTCTGTGGGGGCAGGCAGAGGCCGGCCTCCAGCCTTCTCTTTCTCTACTGACCAGAAGAAGACCCCTGCCTAAGTTAGGAAAGAAATGGAGGTGGGGGGAAAGAATGAGCCCAGCTCTGACTGGAACTGGAGCAAAAAGATGCTTTTAAAGGAAACTGTAAATTACGTTTGAAAAGGTGACTGCCTGCAAACTATGATGAGCCGCTGGCTGACAGTTTCCTCCTCTGCTCATGTTTCGTCCTGTTAGGGTTACCCTCATTCCAAGCCCAGCTCTATGTGGGAATCAAAATGAAGTTGAACAACCGGGCTGCCACCCTGTTCCGGTTGTGAGAGCAGGAGAATTGGCCCACCTCTAGTGAACCCCAACAACAAATCCAGAATTCCAAAAGGGGTCCCCCTGATCCAGCAAAGAGGGATCAGGGGGGGCCAGGAGGAACTGCCTAAAAGCAGGTCTACTGCAGCCAGGGAGTGCACAGAGTAAGCTGCTAGGAAAAGGCTGTAGGTTAATTGAAAATCCAAATCAAGTGAAGGCTAGAGTTCACAGATGCACCATTCTTAATCAGAAAGGATTAAGGAATTCTAGAGGTTTGGAGGGAAGGGGATGTGGGCATCTCATGTTTCCACCACAGGACCATCCATCCCATGATCAACTGCGTGTTGTTCACACCAAGGAATGAGCATGGTGTTTGAAGGCAGGCTGATTACCACATTATCATACCAGCATTGTGCCCACTGTCAGGGACTGTGTCATGGTGTGCCACACTCAAGTTTGGCATTCTAGAGCCTTCTTGCTCCCTGTAGCCCATAGATCATGTGAGGGCACGAAAGTGACTCCAGAGATGTAGGATTACTGGCTGTACCTTCCCTTCCCAAGAGCAACCAGAGCCCTTATCCCACCGAAATTCCTTCTCCTGGAGATATGATCTCCCCAGAAAAAATCATCCGGCTCTTTTCTCCTGCAGGTTTTCTCCAAGGCTCTCTTGGAACTGATCTGAACTTTTATTTATTTATTTATTTATTTATTTATTTATTTATTTATTTATTGTATCTTCTCCTCTCATCGTTCTTCTCTTTTCCGTAGGGGAGAAAATTCCAGAGTATTATCTCTCTAAAATGTGGATTGAGGATGACTCCCTGTGCACTTCAGTGTGACAAGGAATGGAAGGGGTCACCTCCAGTGTGATTTCTGAGTCATCCCCCAGGTGTTATTTACACTCTAGCAAGCGAACAGCAACAACAACAAAAAAAATCTTTCAAGACCCATTAGGAGATCCAATAGTTCATCCCCTGCTCCTTCTCGGGACACATTGATCTCCAGGAGCAGCACAGCTGAAGTTACCCATGAGAAACGGTGTCCTGTCTTCTGAATGCCACTCCTAATGACTCATGTCACCAAGAAGGATTTCTGCCATTAAAAACCATTTCCAAATCTCACTACCTTGTGCCGGGGCTCCCAGATGGATCCACATTATTAGGGTCCGAACCAAGAATGTTCAGTGTCACCTGAGATGTCAAACACCTTTTCATAGAATGGTGGCATTTTGCCAACTCAAGATTAAGTGCCTCCTCCTTCATGGCAGCATACATAAAGACCCTTTGTCTTTCAGATCCATGATGACCTGTACTGACAGCACTCAGGAGACAGACAGGGGCATCACCTCAAGTTCAAAGCCAGCTTGGTCTAGAAAGAGAGTTTCAGGCTCGCCATAGCTTCACACGGAGACCTTGTCTCAACACAACAATAGTTAAAACACTCTTTTTGATGCTTTTGTTGAAAATTATCTATTTGAGTAAAATCATAGAGCAACAACAATCTAAATAAGTGACAATCACTTTGTTTCAGATTAGAAAGGAAGAAAGATCCTGGGTCTGGAAGTTAGAATGACCTAGTCAGATTGCAACTTGATTGTGAGTCCGTGAGCAAGGCATAAGACTGTCCAGGAAGAATGGCTCATTTTGGAGGAATGTGACATTATTGGGAATCTCCCCCATCTAGGATCTCAGGCACTTCCCAGTCCAGAAGGAAACCATGGGGCTCTGCTGCCATCTAGTGGTGGACTTTTCCTGCTAGCATCTTCTAAGAACACCACAGTCCTATCTCTTTTTCATTTTCCACCCTGGTCGCCTACCTTCTTGGAAGACCTTTGCAGAATACACCTGAATGCTTCACATTCCCAGGCCATAGATGAAGAACATTGTTAGCATCCTAGAGGGTCTCCCCTCTGTTGGTCTCTGATTTGTTGTGAGGGCATGATTTCCCTCAGAACCGAGAATGGCCCTAAGTTAGAATTGTTACAAGATAATCTCAGTGAGGGACAGTGAGACTTCACCCCTTGAAGTGCTACTGGGCCCCTCTGCAGTGACTGGAAGGTTTGTGCCACTGCATGGGTGTGGACATCTTTTTCAGTCTCTTCAAGCCTCCACAGCCTGGGTAAGCTGCTCTAGAAACACTGTTGGCATTCAGACTGGCCCTGAGGAGTGCAGTGAGAAAGAGCAAAGAGGCCCCTGCCATGCTCGAGAGATGGAGAAGTCCCCGAGGCCTGGCATCATCCCCATGAAGGAGGACAACATAAACGTTCAGTAGATGAAGAGTCCCCGTGGGATGGAATCACCTAAGGAGAGGACAGAAACATGATGCTTGAGATAAATATAGATTGCTTTTCACAATGTACAAATGAGAATACTAATTAGCTGAAGAGCTCTACGGGTATGAAAATCTTAGAGAATATGGCTTGTTGCTAGGATGGCTAAATCTGACTTTTTTTTTCTTTTTTTCTTCCTTAATGCTGCATTTGAAAGATTGATGGCCATGAAAGAGTCTGAGGGGACTTCTTTCTTTAAGCAATTTGGCTACATCTAAGAAGCCACCTCTTACAAAAATCAGAAGGTGAACTCTACTTGGACGTTTATACATATGTAAATCGTTCTTCCCCACAGCAGAGCTTAGTACATATACAGTTGATGGCAAGGCACTTCCCTGCCCTTCTACCTCCCTAAGGGGAGAGTATAATGTTGCAAGGGTATAGAATACTCTGATAGTAATATCAGATCACTGTTCTTTGTAAGTGACCCTAAAATACAGCAAACCCTAGATCACCATTGAAAGAAAGTGGGGACATATGAGTATGGGATGACACACTCATGTATATGACTCTCTTGAGTGACTCATTCATAGTTACCTGCCAAGCCTTTGCCATGTCTTTCTGATAAAGCAGCGTTTTAAATATTCTATGAGTGCATGCCTTTAGGATGGTGGATAATCACAATAAATGGTTCGTTGCATAGACTGGGAGAATAGTGAGTCCTCCACTTTCATCATAAGGTAGCATATCTGAAAGAGCACTCCATGAAACATGGGCGTCTCTATACATAACAATAGCTTAATTTGGTGTGATGGTTTGTACATGCTTGACCAAGGGAGTGGCACTATTAGGAGGTGTGGCCTTGTTGGAATAGGTGTGGTCTTGTTGGCGTAGGTGTGTTACTGTGGGTTTAAGCTTTAAGACCCTTGTCCTAGCTGACTGGAAGCCAGTCTTCTCCTAGCAGCCTTCAGATGAAGATGTAGAACCCTCAGCTTCTCCTGCACCATGCCTGCCTGGATGCTTCTATGCTCCTGCCTTGATGATAAAGGACTGAACCTCTGAACCTGTAAACCTGCCCCAATTAAATGTTGCCCTTATACGAGTTGTCTTGGTCATGGTGTCTGTTCACAGCAATGAAACCCTAAGACATGCAGTCATCTCTATTATTGAAGTTCATGTGGCTTGCTTCAACCCCAAAGTATCTGATGGAGTTTTTCTCAGATAAGGCTTATGATTTGGAATTTCTAACAAGGTCAAGGTGACATGGGCACATTGGAGATCCTACTTTGACAAATACTGGTGTCAGAGATTGACCTTGGAGTCAAAAGAATCTACTTTGAGTCATACATTTACCTTCCTCCCAGCAAGCAAGCATGCAAACAAATGCAATCTGCGTTTCCTCATCTGCAATGTATGTAATGAGATCTTCCTGACAGACACATGAGCAAAATTACACAATATTGAGACAACATCAGACACATAGTAAAGCTTCAAAGATGGGGTCTCCCTTTCCTACATAGCCCACCTCTGAAAATGAAGAAAGAGAAGCAGCCAGATGGGGAGGGCATTCCATCTGCTCTAATTCATACCTTAGGATTTCAAACCACAATTGGGGAGACAAAACAAAATTCAGTTATCTCCCAGGTTGTCACAAGGTGAATCTGGCTGACATCTGGATGAGAAACTGAAGATTCCTTTGCTCTGACTTTTAAGTTCAACTTGCAAGGCAACCTCCTAGCCATTTTCTGAAGCCTGTGGAATAGAAACCATCTTAAAAGCTCCTCCACAGCTAGAAGGCCGTCACTCTGCCTACTTATTAGTAATGCTTTCCTTCTGCAGCAAGACTGCCCAGTATGGAGTCACCATGAACATTCACCAGCCCAGGCTGCTGCTGCATGTCAGAAAGACAGCAAGGAAGAACCAGATGCCCTTGCAGAGCAAATACTGTCTGGAAAGCTCACATACTTGCTGGCTCAGCATTAAGGCTCACAGGTGACAAGTGACTATTAACTTTCCATAGACCTCCACTATCTATAGTCCAACAGATTTGAATGTCAAAAG